GCCTAATTGAAGATGGCCGCCAACTGGTCTTGAAAACTCAACAATGGCTCTAAATCAGCCGCTTGTCCTGATGTTTAGCTAATCTTTGTGGTAGTAGCTGACGGTCGTGCACAACACAAACTCCAACTGCTGCAGATTTTTAAGGTTTGACCGGAATTACATTATTTCTCAACTTGAGGTGATCTCACTTTAAACTCTGGCATTAAAGTCTAGTTATCTGTTTATGAGCAAGTTCTACTTGCTGTAATTGTACATTTGCTGATGATTGTTCTGATTTGTTCATAAAAAAAAATACATATTTACCAAAAACCAAAAAAGTTAGTGTATTTGGTCACTGGCTGCCCTCGTATCTAAAGGTCAGCATCGGTTGACCTCTAAATCTAAATGCCTTGAAGCGTATCGAGTTCCACCGTTCATGTCGGAGTTTTTGACATCAATCATCTCAAAATAACTGTAAGAGTCTTGAGCGATCTGTTAGCGCTCCGGGTGTTGGGAGTGATCTCACTGAACCACCACAGCAAATCTGAGATCCACGCCTGCAAAACCAACCAAGCTTTGATGAAGCTGCGGCGGCCATCTTAATTTGGGTTTACTTCAAAAATTTAATCAGTTGTAGAAAATCTGTCCTGTAGTTCACGCAGTTGGACCAGTGTGCTCTATATGCTTCCATTAAGTAATGTTATTATGGGATACATTTTCATTGTTATGCTGATGATACACAGTTATATTTGTCCATGAAATCCAATGAATCTAATCAGCTACTTAGACTACAAACATGTCTTAAAGAAAAAAACACGGATGACCCTAAATTTTCTGCTTTTAATCTCAGACAAGACTGAGGTTTTAGTTTTTGGACCTGAACATCTTAGGAATGAATTTTTCAGTCTTTCTCCCTCCTTGGATGCATTAATCTGTCCTCCAGCTCTAACGTTAAAAGTGTTGGAGTTACTTTTGATCAGGACGTGTCTTTTATCCCCCACATTAAAAACGTTACTAGAACCGCCTTCTTCCACCTGCGATGCAGAAAAACTGGTCCATGCATTTGTCACGTCTAGACTGGACTATTGCAATGTTTTTTTTTTTTTCTTGGTGTCCAAATACTTCTTTAAAGTCTTCAGTTGATCCAAAATGCTGCTGCCATGAAACGTTGGCGAGTTGTTGACTGAACTACGATGAAACTAAAACTACGGTTTGAGAAGTTGTTTGAAAAGTAAATAAAAACAGAAAGCAGTGATTTGCAAACGTCAAACCATAATTTATTCAAAGTAGAACCTAAACTTTATTGTCAGTGTTCATTATTAACACTCGGGGGTTAAAAGCCTTTTTTTTGTAAAGCGACTCTTGTTTTTCCTGCAGGGAATCAGCGATGACCCCATCCATCTCAAGATCTTCTCCCCTCATGTGGTCAACCTCACGCTGGTGGATCTGCCCGGAATCACTAAGGTAGCTGAACTTCCTGCTCCTCCGCTCTGGGAATTTATTCAAACTCTTGTAAAAACACTAAAGAGGACCAAGATTCAGCAAACCACGTCTTTTCTTTCCAATCCCTCGTTCCCTCAGGTGCCTGTGGGCGATCAGCCTAAAGACATCGAGATTCAGATCAGAGATCTAATCCTGAAGCACATCTCCAACCCCAACTGCATCATCCTCGCCGTCACGGCGGCCAACACAGACATGGCCACGTCCGAGGCCCTGAAGGTGGCCCGGGAGGTGGACCCCGACGGTAGGAGGAACGCTCCGACACACCACGATCACAATTCGAACCGTTGAAATGGGACCGGTGCAGTTTCTTCCGTTCTTCACGACCTTCTGTTGGACTCAGGCAGGAGGACGCTGGCCGTGGTGACCAAACTGGACCTGATGGACGCCGGAACCGATGCCATGGATGTTCTGATGGGCCGCGTCATTCCAGTCAAACTGGGCATCATCGGAGTCGTTAACAGGTCTCACAAACACCGATCCGTACGCCGAGAAACATCTGTCGGACTTTTAAAGAAAATACGTCCGTTCTTCAGTACGGTTTCAGCTTCTTTCTCGTCCCGCAGTTTTCAAGCTTTTTGAACAAACCATAAACCAAAACGTTCAGCTCTTTCAGGACAATCCTGCGTTGACGTTTGGTGTTGGTGCAAATTTAGCTTTTTGAAATATTTAGCCTTTTCTGACATTTTGTCCTGATAGAAAATGAATTGAGCTCATTTTACATCCTTCATATCTTTAGATGCGTTTACAACCTTTGACTGCTCCTTGCACATTTTGTTCTGCTTCAGCTTCCTTGTGAATTTAAACTTCAGCTGCTTCCAGCTCCTTCCTGATTCTTTCTATGAACTACAACATTTCTGTGCTTCTTTTAACTTCTTTCTGGAAGTTTCAGCTTCTTTTACTATTTCAGCTACTATTTAGCTGTTTTATGCTAATTTAAGCGTTTTCAGCTAATTCCACATTTTTTGCACTAATTTAAACTTTTTTCAGCCAAATAAAGCAAAAATGTGCTCTCTACTTCCTTATTGTCATTTCAGCTTTTTTAAGCTACTTGTCAGCTGTTTTTTCAGATAATTTCTACTTTTTGTGCTGATTTCTGCTTCGTTCAGCCTAATTGGGCAAACGTGTTCTTTCTGCTTTCTTCTGCAAATTTCAGCTTGTTCTAACTTTTCAGCTATTTTTTAAAGAATTTTTTTTAGCTAATTTCAGCTGTTTTCAGATTGATTCCAGTTTTTCTTGGTAATTTCTGCTACTTTCAGCCTAATTACCTTCTTTCTGCTAATTTCAGCTTGTTATTCTCCTTTCAGTTTTTTCCCCAGCTAGTTTAAACTTTTTCTGCTATTTCATGCAAATTTTAGCTCATTTCAGCTCTTTCCATTTCCTTCTTTTAGTTTAAGCTTCTTTCTGCCTTTTTGGCAACTTTTTAAATATTTTTTGTTGCTAATTTTATCCTTTTTCTTTAGCTGATTTTGTGCTAATGTCTGTTTAATTAAACCTCATTCAGCAGATCTGTTCTGTTTTCTTCTGCTAATTTAGGCTTGTTCTTCCCTTTCAGCTATGTTTTAGCATGTTAGCTAATTTCAGCTGTTTTTCAGCAAGTTCTTCTGCAATAAGTATTCACACTACATTTTCGCAGGAAATGCAGTGGCTTGGCTCTAGAATGTTTTGTTGTGATTCTATGAACCCGAACACAAACTTCCTGCTGTAAATGTTACCTTTTTGTCTTGGATGTTCAGGAGCCAGTTGGACATCAACAATAAAAAGTCGGTGGCTGATGCGATCCACGACGAGCACGCCTTCCTGCAGAAAAAGTACCCGTCTCTCGCCAACAGGAACGGAACCAAATACCTGGCCAGAACCCTGAACAGGTAAACCAGACTGAGCGTTCGCTCGCTTCAACGCCAGTCACTGCTGTTTGTTAGAACAGAGTTTCCTTTAAGTTTTGTTTTTGACACATTTAAGAGCAGAAGTGGTGCTTTAAACTCAGTTTTATCTTTTTTTTTTTTAATCTTTTGTTTTTACTTTTGATTCCAAAAGTATTTTAAGATTAAAGGCCTCCCGTTCCTTGACGGAATGCACATCACCCGCCATCGTTCATGCTGAAATGGATGAATATGTTGAGAGACGATAGTGTAGTAGCTGTTTCGCTCAAACCTCGTCCAGGACACAATTTGATGCAAGACGTCACTCGCAGTGTGATGGGATGATCCTCAGCTACTCCCACACCAAATATTGGCTCAGTATCTAAAACCGATTAGTTTTTTTGTGAAGGTCAGGCGACTGTGGCAACATTCTTGAACATGATTAGCTTTAAAAAGATAACAATTTTAAAGGTAAAATAAATGACTATTTTCTGAAAATTTTATTTAAATCTGTGAAATGGTTCATAAGATATTTTACTAAATTGACTATAAAGTATTTAATGATGTGCTTTTTTTTCGGCAAATCATGGAAATTGATATTTTGAATAAAAAATATCTGAAAAAATGGATTTTCTGACAAAATGTTTGAAGGATAAAAGAAAACTTTTCACTTTTTTACCTGCACATATTTAAACTTGTAGCTGTTCACAGAGTTTCCAGGAATTAGTCTGAGCCATCTGAGTTGCTGCTGTGTGTGATGTAAAACCACCTTTGCTGTCATGTCAGATTACTGATGCATCACATCAGAGACTGCCTGCCCGAGCTGAAGACCCGGATCAACGTCCTGGCGGCCCAGTACCAGTCCCTGCTCGGCAGCTACGGAGAACCCGTGGAGGATCAAAGCGCCACCTTGCTTCAGCTCATCACCAAATTTGCGACCGAGTACTGCAACACCATCGAGGGCACGGCGAAATACATCGAGACGGCTGAGCTGTAAGTAGCAGCTGCGCCACACGGGGGCGCTGCTGGTTCACAGGAACCAGAGCTGAACCAGAGCTGCTCTGGTTTCATCATCCATTATGATAGAAACTTGTAAATTGAGGAGCGCAGGCCACAGGGTTCACATCACAACTGATCCCCCCCGTTTTTTTCAGGTGCGGCGGAGCCAGAATCTGTTACATCTTCCACGAGACGTTTGGTCGAACGTTGGAGTCTGTGGATCCTCTGGGAGGACTGAGCACCATAGACATCCTAACAGCCATCAGGAACGCAACGGTGAGTTCAGCAGGTCCAGATTAATATCACTGATCAATATCGATCGTTTATTTATTCTCTGCTGACGCAGCCACGACTTAAAAATAATAATTCAACTGATTTAAACATGTTGAGATCAGATGTGGTGCGGCAGCAGCTGAGTCGTTCACAACACGTACCCCGAGTGTGGCGGGCGATATGCATCCTTTCATGTCACCCTAGCTCATTGTTAAAACCCCACCCCCTCCCCCAGGGTCCGCGCCCGTCGCTCTTCGTGCCCGAGGTTTCCTTCGAGCTGCTGGTGAAGAAGCAGGTGAAGCGGCTGGAGGAGCCGAGTCTGCGCTGCGTGGAGCTGGTCCACGAGGAGATGCAGAGGATCATCCAGCACTGCAGCAACTACAGCACGCAGGTACCGACAGAACCCCCCTCCTCACTCACAGGATGCTGAGTCAGCAGATCTGCTTCACTTTGACCTTTTAGCCGTTGTTCTGCTAGCCCCAGCTTAAACTACTGTTTTGCTGCTCTTCTGCTGTTCTTATCTTTAGCTCCTTGTTCTTAGTGTGTGTTGCTCTTAGCCAGTTTTATTTTACCTGTTTTTGTGTAGCTAATCTTAGCTTTCAGCTACTGTTTGATTCATGCTTTCAGTTTTACAAATTGTAGATTTTAGTTGCTTTAGCTACTGTTGTTGGTTTTAGCTTTTAGTTTGATTTACACATTTTAGATACTGTGCTACCAACTGCAGGTTTGCATTATTTAACATAATTTAGCTACTGTTGTTGGTATTAGCTTTTAGACATTAAGCTAACTGTAGATGTTTATAATGGTTCAGTTTCGGGCTCTAGATCTTGTTCCAGTGAATTCCTTCAGCCTGGTTTCTGTTGTTTTATTCGAGCAGGAGCTGCAGAGGTTCCCGAAGCTCCACGAGGCCATCGTAGAGGTGGTGACCTCCCTGCTGAGGAAGAGGCTGCCCATCACCAACGAGATGGTACCGACTTGGACCCGCTCAGGTTCTGTTCACCCGTTCGCTTGGACACGTCTGCTCTGAACACGTCTTCTGGTTGCAGGTCCACAACCTCGTGGCCATCGAGCTTGCGTACATCAACACTAAACATCCCGACTTCGCCGACGCCTGCGGGGTGATGAACAACAACATCGAGGTCTGGACTCGGACAGAAAACACAAACGCGTCTAATTATTCAAAAAATATTTATTCAACTTCTTGTTATTTTAGGAGCACAGGAGAAACAGGATGAGAGAGCTGCCCTCTGCCGTACCCAGAGACAAGGTGAGCTTTAAAATCTGATCAAATCACACAAATTATTCTGGTGCTGCAGCTGGTGGCCTCCTCCTCTTGCTAGTCTGTTGGCCGAGGCCCAGCTGTGGTTTCTGGAGCCGATGTGGACGGTACCAAGGTGGGCGCATGAGCTGCTGGCACGCTCTGTGATCTGTCTGCTCTGAACCTGCACCAACTGTTTCCTGAAATGTTTAGAGACAAACAGCTTTCTCCTTCCTCTGTTCAACACGTTAATTTAATTTTTTAAGAAGTAACCTGTTGGAACCATGATGATGGTGTTTCAGTGGTATAATGACGATTAGCTATTTTAAAAAGTTGAGGGTCTACTTGTTCTCCAGGCCGGGGCAGCAGCTGGGTCTCAGGGCGATCAGGACGGCACTGGCAACTGGAGAGGGATGCTGAAGAAAGGAGAGGACGCCTCCGGATCTGGACCAGGAAGTCCACTGAAAGGAGCCGTGAACCTGCTCGATGTGGTAACAAAACACTGGCCTGCTCTCATTATGATTTATCATCTGTACCTTTATTAAAATGTTGCTGTTCTTCATTTCCTTCCAGCCCGTCCCTGTTGCTAGGAAACTGTCATCTCGTGAGCAGCGGGACTGTGAGGTCATTGAACGCCTCATCAAGTCTTACTTCCTCATCGTGCGCAAGAATATCCAAGACAGGTATAACTGAACAACACCTTCAATACAAAAACAAATCATACTTCACCTGCTCATGGAAATAGTTACAAATAATTAACTTGAAAATAAATCACTGCTTTATACCTTAAATACACTTCTGAAAGTATTAAATTTAATAAAGATCTACAAGTTAGCTGTATTTGTAACAATTTTTTTTTAACCAAAATTTCTAATTCTTTGCACGTTAAAAGTGCATGTCGAGGAAATAAATTAGGAAGAACAGATTGTGTTGGATTTTGTCAAGAGAATGGAAACAGATGTAATTAACATTTATTTCCAAAAGAGGGAGTATAGTGTAGAAGAGGAAACATCAGGGAAATTGGATACTAAGGTGAATACAGCATGGAATGGTTGTGTGCAGAATGACTGGACTACTACAGCAACAGTAATTAGAGAGACAGGTATTAAGGTACTTGGGTATCATCTGGACAGAGAATGGATGATAAGGAAACCTAGTGGTTGAATAGTGAGGGACAGGAATGTAAGGAGATGCAAAGCGTGAGGCTGAACACTAAAGAGGGTGAGACAGAGGGATCAGGCTGGAAAGGGTGTGCAGCAGGGTTAATGTTCTGACAAGTGATGAGTTTAACAGGAATTGGTGATTGGAAAGGCAGGAGGTTTGGAGTCTCTGACTCAAACATTTAATGACATATTTGAGGGTGAGAAAACTGCCTGAGGAATGGAGAAGTGTGCTGGTGTCCATTTTTAAGTCGATGAGTTACACGATGGAGTGAGTTGTGGAAGCTAGACTTGGATGAGAGAGGTCTGGTATTGCATGAAGAAATCTGGACACATACTATAGTATGACTTCTAAAAGGATGAAAATGACTCATACTATAGTATGTATAAGGACAGGTTTGCATCAAGAATCAGCTTTTGTTTGCAGATGACATGGTCAGCTGTGGTGAGAACAGGTGGCAGTATGCACTTGAAAGAATGAAAGTCAGCCGTAGTAAGATCGTGTGTGTGAATGACAGAGGGTCAGGTAGAACAGTGAGGCTACAAGGACTTGAAAATGTCCAGGAGTGATTTGTGACAAAAAGACAGGAGAAAGAACTGGAAGTGGCAGAAATGAAGATGTTGAGGTTCTCCTTAGGAGGGACAGGAGGTATATTGGTAGAAGGATGTTAGAAATGCAGCTGCCAGTAAAAAGACAAATAGAAGATATATGGATGCAGTTAGGTGACCCCTGAAGAGGGAAAAGCCCAATTAATTAGTAATAGTTAAAATGAACTTATCATGCTCTCAGCAAAATATGTATTGTTGGCTATGCTGAAAGTAGTGCGCCCTCTACTGGATATATTGTGCGAGTAAGCACACGGCTTGTTCCCAGTGTTTATACTGGTGCATAATGGGACGATTATGTCCCCATACTCCAGATAAATCAGTCAATGTTGAGGTTCTGATGTTAAATCCAACAGTTTTCATCTGGATTAGAAGGAAATTAATCGGCCTCATTGTTTTTGTTGAATTAGAAAGATGTGTGTCTATCAGAAAAGCTTGACGACTAAACCCCACAGCCATCTTGTTCCCTGTGTTTGCTGCAGCGTGCCAAAGGCAGTGATGCACTTCCTGGTCAACCACGTGAAGGACAGCCTGCAGAGCGAGCTCGTTGGCCAGTTGTACAAATCAGGCCTCCTCAACGATCTGCTGACAGAGTCGGAGGACATGGCCCAGCGGCGCAAGGAGGCCGCTGACATGCTGCAGGTAAAGTGTTCCCTTCGAGGAGGAGGGCTTTTCTTTTTGTTTAAATATGTACTGCTTCCGTATCTGATCAGTGTTTCTTTATTCTCAGGCATTGCATAGAGCCAGTCAGGTGATCGCTGAAATCAGAGAAACACATCTGTGGTAACAAATTGTTTCTGTCCAGTGGGTACGTGCTCCACATCATGAGGATCTAACGTACTCATGTTAGCTTACAAGCACTGGAATTAGGTGTAATTTATTTAAAATGCTCAGTGTAAAAACATTTCTTGTTTACAACGCCATATCTACACAAGAAACTACTTTGAGTTTTTATTATTTGTTCGTGTCGTCTACGCTGCTATGGAAAAGAATATGAAAAGCACTGAATCCGTTTGTAAACAGGTTTTACTTTAACTTATTGATGTACTCAATGTGACTTTTGCACTTTTGTCATCGCACTGTAAAGTATATAAGAAGATACATAAATCTTGATGTTGTTGCCAATATTTATTATTTGAGTTGTGACTCCATGTTATTCCTGAAATAAACCCATACTTCATAATTGTGTCCTTTTTCTTACATTTATCTCAACCTCCCTTTAGCTTTGCCTCTTCCTTTATTGCTGGGAAGACAAAGAAATGAAAATTTCTACATTAAAAAAAAAAAATATTCCTATTTAAGAGCAAGCAGCACTTTGGAAGATTTCCGGAACAATCAAATAGTTGTTTACTGGATCTCACCTCTGGGTGGTGTGAACCCGAGCCAGGAGCAGATTGATCTGTGAGAGGGACACAAAAGAAGACATGATGAAAAATGACACATACTATAGTATGACTTACAAACTGATGAAA